ATTCCTGGAGCTTTGCCCTAAGTATCATAGGGATTGCACCTTTTTTTTGCCCACAACGTCTGGCACCCGTAAAGCCAATGTGCTGATTAGGAGGCTATTTTCTGTACCCTAAATTGCAAAAGAGATTGTGACATTTGTGCCCAAATTGTGGGGCCAAGGAGTGTCGGCTGTAAGCCAGTCCGACGGAGAAGACCTCACGGAAGCACTGAAGACAACGGTGAAGAAATGCCAGCAGGACTTGGGCCTTCGTTTCAGCATTTTGGTCATGAAGTACATGTATCCCAGTTTTTGAGCGAACCTTCTGGATCTCTGTGTTTTGCCGATCGAAGATCCTGGTAGGATCCTTGTTTTGACCAGTAAGGCATAGAAGAGATGGAGGAGATTCGCACGTACATCTTGAAAGGCAGCTGCTGGGAGGGTGGCAAAGTGCGCCAGTCCGCACAACACGACCCTCGTTTCCTGTGCAAGATGACCCACACTTCCTAGTTGTATAGATGTCACTTGGCAGCTGGGTGGGTTAGCGATGATGGGGTCCTAGGCCCTGAATGCACACCTTCCCTGCAGGTTGAGCCCATGGCGCGGGGGGCCGAGATCGGCCGAGGAAGAGAGAGAGACCGCGAAAACCATCCCGAGCGCTCGAGACGTGGATCGAGACGTTGAAGGGCTTTTGAGCTTGGGCGCCGGGTTTTGTTGGCACTTTCCAGGAGCGTCAAGCATTCTTGGAGTGTTCCGAGGGTTGGGGCCAAGCGCTGGGCATTTGCGCATGGTGCAGGATAGACTCCTCATGATTTTTTGTTTCGACATGTGCTGAAGCATCAGAGCAAAGTTGACTTGCAAGGCAGAGAGAGACATCGTTGGAACTAGATTGCCTGTGCACTTCTCAGCTAATTTGCCGTGGTAGTTTAAGTGCTGCTCAAACTTCAGCCTTCCCAAAGTGGACAATTGATCTCAGAGCCATGAGGGCTTTTGCTTGCCTCCTGGCCTTCTCCCTGGCCACTCCCTTTCTGGCGAAGCTCCAGGAAGAGCGATCTCCCTTGTGTGAGCAAGGTGAGTGTGATGAGGTACAACTCTTGCAGGCCGAGAAGCTCCAGCAGCTCCGCGCCAGCACGGGTGCTCCCAGCTCCATGGCAAGCGCGGCGCTGGAGGTGGTGCCTGGGTTGCACGGGTGGACATCAAAGAAGAGCTGAGCGGTCTAGCTGGACCCAAAACGTTTGGTACCGTCGGTACCGCTAAAAGTGTATCCAGTCGACATGAGTATATATATATATATCTTATAAATGAAACCATACTTTCTGTTTTAGAGCCATGTTCCATTCTCGTGGCACTTTCCACTGAAAGAGCCACTGAGGTGTGGCAGGTCCTGACCAGCGCAGCGGGCTGGTGGTTGCTTGCGCTGAGCTGCCCTGAAGTTTTTTCATATTTCTGTTTTGCCTCCAAAAAATATGGAAGCGGACAACCACCTGTGTAACAGGATGCTTTCTTTTTCTCCAGGGGCCAGGACGTCCACTTTCATGATTGTTGGAGAGAGGGTACAGTAGTGTCTTTTTTTCTGTCTTTTTTCCTGGGACCCAGCAAGACCTGACATCAACCCGAAGTGCTTTTGCATCTTCACTGGAACCAGTCTTATGGCTGTTGACCCAAAGTGGAGATTGGAAACATTTTCAAGCGGACCACCAAGATGGTAAATAACATCTGTAGGGATGCCATGACCAGGCAGAGGTGTCTCAACCTAACCCCGCCAAACCGAGATCCGTCATTTTTGCCAGAAGAGTCCTTTTCTTTCTCCTCAAGATCCACCCCGACCCCAAGGTGCCATGTTTCTTCCTCCACAGCAGCACCAAGAGCCACGTGCCCCACCCCCCCAGCCGCCGCTCTCCCCTCGATCCGTTTGGGCTTCCCCCGTTGGGGTTCGGCTCCCCCGTCAAGTTGCCGTTGCGAAGCTCCAGGATGCAGAGGCACGACCTGGGCGCCCGCGTGGACCTGCGCCCCATGCAGCGGCAGTTCCCCTACGTCCCCGCCGAGGGGCGGCAGTTCTGGATGTACGCCACCGCGACCACGTGCCCCGTGGAGGTTTTGGAGCAGTGGCCGAAGGGCTTTGACAACCCGGATTGCGAGAAGTTCGCGCCCGGGGAGAACAAGGTGAGCGTCTTCGTTGACAGCACAAGGCCCAGTATTCAGGCTCTGAAGTGGCTCGGCAAGGTGATTCCGCTGCTGGAAGAGGCCAAATGGTACCAAGGTCTCATCAAGGGACTCGAACGGTGGACGGTGGGCAACCACAAGGGCTTTGTTGCGACGGATGACACCCTGAAAGCCATCATTGTCTCCGTGTCGGGGACTGGTATGGTGACGAATCTGGGCTTTTTTGCAGACGTCTTGGCGGATACCAACGCCAACTCGTTGTATGGATTGGAATGCCCAATTCTCCAGATCCAAAAGAAACTCAAGTTCGTGCCATACATCAAGAAATTGCCTGGCTTGTATCACCGTGGTTTCTGCTGGTTCTATAACATGATGGTTCTCTACACCAGCTACCAGACGGATCTGATCACGGCCGTGAAGGCCAACCCTAGCTATGATGTGATCTTTGCTGGCCACTCTTTGGGAGGCTTGTGAGAGCACCAGGGAACTGTGGGAGATATGGGTGTGTAGTTTGCTCGGGAGACAGCAAACCAATGGGTTGATTTTGCTTCTGGCAGGGTCTTTGGGAGGTCATCTGATACATGATTATGAGGTCCAGGCCAGTTTAGAGCAGTTCCATGTTTGAAAGAATTGACTTTGTTTTCACCTGCTGGTTCTGCTCAGCAGTCTTCTCAGACTCTTCTTGCTGGAGCAAAAGGGCTGTGATCAGACTACTTGATGTACTTCCACATTTCACGTATACTCATCCTTACAATCCAATAGGCCTAGTATGTGAAATGTAAGGTCATTTCATTTTGAAGATTAGTGTGTGAAATGGCCTAATTACTTCAAATGATTGAGCGGAGAGGCCTCAGTCCCGGGGGGGCAAGGTCTGACCAGCCCTCCATGTCCCTTTCGTCGAGTTGGTGTGACGAAGCGGAGGAGGTTTTTTCCCCCTGTAGGGGCACAACGCCTGAGGTTCTGAGTACTCCTGACGAAGTAGATGCCAATGGGATGTGAAGATCTGATATAAACCAGGTGCACCACTTGACTAATCAGAAGTGAACCATTGCAACGTGACATTGTTCGGATCGCTCTCTCGCAGGTGCTGCCATTACTCTGGCTGCTGCAGATTACTTGCATCGCATTCGACCGGAACTCACGAAGAAGGGTTCGAGTGTCGTGGATTACATCGAAGCTGCTGTCTGTGACGATTGCGCCTTCCCCGAGTCCAGCAGCATTCCGTCGGGGGTCCCTGCGACGGGCCACGTGCTGCTCTACACCTATGGCTCCCCACGAGCAGGGTCACCGTCCTCTGCTGACTACCTGCATGCACGGCTCGATGCTTCCTATCGGGTGACACGTACCTTGACATCGCAACCATGTGGGGCTCAAGAGTTCAACCGGAAAACACCGTAGTTTACACACCGTAGTTTCTCGAAAACACCCAACGTTGCGGTATTGATAGACATTTTGCTTCGTTGGGACATACAGAGACTCCACGGGTAAGAGGAGACCGACTGAGGAAGAACTCCTCTCCCACACTCTTCCACTCACACGACCTCGACTGCGCCAGGGAACGGCGACCCGGTTCCTTTGCTCATGATGTGCCAGCGACAGGAGTCGGATCGGCAGGCGTGCACGCCGGCGGAGGAGAATCCCTACCATGTGGGCCAGGAGCGAGAGAGAGAGAGTGGGTCCTGAGCGGGCTGCGCACGTGCTGCGGGCGCTCTTGGGTTTGTGTTTCGCGCTCACGCGATTTTTACAGACAAATTCAGTGAGTAATTCACAAGGCTTCAGCCAGCACAAAAGTTAGTATTCGTCGGGCATCAAGAACATTGGGAACGAAGCTCAGTAAGGCTTCCGTATCAAGGCAGCATCTACGTATCTGGAAAGCTTAAGCGCTCGGGCCCACAAAAGGGGGTTTGCAGTCAGGCTTCAGAGTAAAGCATTTGCAAATGAAGCCACATCACCCCTTCAGGAGGTGTACTACCCTCATGAGAACGGCACCCACTACATGTGCAATGGCTTAGGGGAAGACCCCAAGTGCGCAGATAGCCGGTCCATCGAGCACGGCTATACCTTTGAAGAGTTTGCCTATGGCTTCGGAAATATCCACACCGCCTACTATGGCATGGGACCTTGGGCGTATCTACCACCAACTCAACGGTGGTGCTGCTCTGATTGAGGCAGACGGTACAATAGGCAGCTAGTAGATCGGCAGCCTGGTACGATACATTTTTGTTCGTTCACAAAGAGACGAGGCAGACGGAACGGAGTAGCGTGGCTCGAAACATCCGTGAAACCACATATTAATTACCTATTATATAAGCCAATATAAATATAATGATATAATGTCGTCATTCTTTTATGTACATATCATACATATATATTTATACCAAAAAAATGAAGATGCATATCACACATATATATGCATATATTTATATACATACATCCATTATATATGTACATATGCTTTGCAACAAAAACACATAACAGCTGTGAACAGAAGTTCCGTCACTGACCAGCCTTTTGGACGCCCTTTTTGGACGCCTGGACGGCTCGCTCGAGTGACTGTGGTGCTTTTGTCCATCCCCGTTTCGAGACGCTCTCCGGTCCAACCGGCTTTTGAGCTCCGGTCCAACCACAACAGCTGGTTGCGATGAGCGAATCAAAGGGTGTGAAAGACAGAGACGGCCGTGACGTGGGTGCTTTGGAAGAATGGCTGTGAGTCAACCCCCAACGTCAACGTCTGTGGTAGTGGATTCTGTGCATTTTGGGAGTCATCATCAGTACGCCAGTTTCGCCGTAAGGAGCTAAAGTTTCGACTGGACCGTTGGACCCCCAATGGTGGCAAGTTGCAACAACAGCGTGTTCAGATTGTTTTGTGCAAACGATGTTGGCCTCCTCACTGTTTCCTGCAGCCCTGGTCATAATTCCCTTCTCATTGGGCCCAGGTCCATAGAACCATGTAAACAGCAGGTGTCAACAGCAGGTGTCAACAGCAGGTGTGGGGGGAACACGGTCCGCTCCGCCCTTCGCCGCTTCGTCGTTGGAGAGGAGTAGAGGTCGGGCTGAGAGAGAGCGAGGGAGGGGCTTTGGGCCGATTTGGGGCGTGGTTCTGGGTGTTTTTGGGATTCTTTTCGGGGTGGTGTTAAGGATGTGTTCAGGGAACTGCCCTGACATGTTGAATTCAATCAGGTGCTTCGAAGACCATCTCGCATGTTCCCACAAAACACCAGTACACATCTCTGGGCCTTATGGGCTTGCTCTTGAGACCGTAGTTTCTTAGGCTCAGAAGAATCCATGAGTACCATCGGCGGCTTGAGCGAAAAGCACCACCCGACCTTTCAAAACCAGAAGTCTTCTGACAATTTAGGTTTTGAAGACTCGGTACTCAGTTCTGAGCATCCCAGAGATCCTTGACTCAGTACTGAGTCGTACTTGCCGCTTCAATTGTGTGCGTACTGCAGAATGCCACGTCTGACCATACCGCTACCGCCACGAACCGTTCCCCACCGGTGTTTCTTCCACAGAAGTTTCTATCCATCCACAGCTGGGGCGAGCAGCGCCAGCTTCAGCGCCGCACCGCGCCGGCGACCATGCGCTCCCGTGGGGTCAGCGCCGGACATCATGTCCACTGATGACGTGGCTCCTGGGCTAGCAAGATCACTGCTGGGGGTGACAGTTGGTGAAACCGCCCGAAAAGGTCTCGGTCTCTCTGAAAGGAACAGCAGTGAAGAGCAGTCATACTGAATGGCTCTCTTCTTTATTTTTGTGGTTGTCCTTGTCATGGATCATGTCCTTCTGCTCATGGTGCCCATGGGATGGGAGAACGGCCTCGAATCTGACAGCTGACACGACTTTGCGGCTGTCTCATACAAGTTTATATCACGAAGGGAAGACAATAATACATACATCTTTGTGGCTGTCATTGGTATTTTCGGAAAGCATACTCACGAAACAACATGTTATTTTCCTGGCAATCAGGCGGCCAACTAGATGATTCATCAAGAAGGCAACCGAAGCACATCGTCTCCGAAGCACAACATACTTGGAAATTTACATGACAATGACTTGAGAGCAGTGAACATGCGGTGAACACCAAGAGAGCCGGAACATGCCAACTATGATGAAGGCGACGACACTCAGACAACGGCCTCATGAAGATCCTCATCCTCTTTAGGGGTTTTGAGCAAATGCCAAAGAAAGAACCACCAAAAACGAGTCTGCCACCCATGAGGCCGGGCCCTTTTCATCCAAACCCACCAACCCACCACCGAACCGGTTCAGCCGCCGCCGCCAGGAGTCCAAAGTTGTGGCGCTGCCGGAGCTGCGAGGTGAGTGGGAGGGGGGTTGGCGTCGGAGTCACCAAGCACCACAGAGTTGTTGAGGGATATTATACTGTGAATCCCAAAAACCGCAGCAAGCCCCCAAGCAAGAACGGACTCCCTTTTCAGCGGACACGTAACCCCCATTTGGAGTACAGGTTCCTAGCTTGGTCTTGGGTCGATCGATGCCGGTGGTATTCCAATTTCACACCGGCACAACTTCTAGCGGCAAAGCGAGACGATCAAGACATCGTGTTCTGTACATTGTCTTTCATGACCGTCTTCTGAGAGTGACCACATGCCGGTGTTGCAAATCATTCGGAGGAAGTCGGAACACATACGCTTAGTAAGAGGGTCGGCAACCATGTTGTCTCCGGCTACCCACCTCAGTGTCCCGCCAGACCGGCAGAGATCATCCTTGAGGATGGCCACATCGATTGCTGTTCGTTTGTCTTCCACTTGGGCATAGGTGCAAACCAGCTTGTTGATGCAATCGTAGAGTGAACGGGAATCAACCACGGACACGTATGGGATGGATGCCAAGTGTCTTTCCCAATCTGTTGTGGAGATTGGGGCTCCCATGAGTTCCAGCAGTAAATAACGGTGCCAATGGATTTGTCCGATTCCTTGTATCAGTGCCTGGCATTCAGCACTGAGGGTGTTCACTGTCTTTCTTTTCAACCTTGAGGATTTCCATGAGGTCACTGAGACCATGTGTGGTTGGCTCTCACTTTCCATGCGCTTGTCGTAGAACATGAGGACATAGCCACCTTGGCTGCTGCAGTTCAGCAGTTTGAGGAAGCAGTCACTGATGTTGGAGCGTTCCAACTCATGGCCTGGAAGCTGTTTGGTGAAGATCGTTTGTCCAGTCCAGGATTGTGAATCCCAGGTGATGGTGCTGTTACCCTTGGTCCACTCATCTTCCTTGGGGTTTCCAAGGTTGTTCACTGTTCGTCGACCTGGCTGAAGGTCGTGAAGGTCTGGACCTGGTGTAGCTCCTGGGTGGAACAGGGTTCTTCGTGGTGCTATGTGGTGCCTGATCCAGTGCTGGGGTTTTTCCTCCCAGTAGTCTGGACCATCTTTTTCGACTTGATCCTGGCTTCTGGCATTAGACCAGGATGCGTCGGTGGCAACACCGACTCTCAAGTGGCCTGGAGCAATGGGCATGATGCGGATGCCACTAGTAGCATGCTTTTTGGCCTCCTGGGTAATGGAGTTGGCCTCGATGATGTCCTTGATCCGTGGACGTGGAAATACTTGTTGTAGTAGTGCAACTCTTCCGGCAATGTCCGGTCTGCTCTCTTTGGCCAACCATGCGAGGGCTCCGACGCTTGCTCGTAGGCTGGACACTTCTTTGTCGTCACAAAAGGAGAATCTTCTCTTCTTTCTGCTCTTCTCGAGGTGGATCTCGAAGAGCTTTTCTTGGACATAGTTTTCTTGGTTCACCGTGATGCTATAGTCCTCGTGCTGGGTGAAGAGCTTGCCGGTGAACTTTCCAGTGCCGTACTGGAATTTGCCAAGCTTATACTTGGTTTTGATCTTGTTCATGGCCTCTTCGTGGTCGTGGTCCCCACCGTGAAGAAGGTCGTCAGTGGCGACAGCAATGATCCCACTGAGTTGTTCTTTTCCCGTTTCTAGATTGGTCTTGAGCTTGTAGTAGATGCACGGGTCGGCCAGGGACTGTTTGTACTGGAGGTCACCGACTAGGAACTTTCGAAGATGATTGTACCAGGCCAGTGGTCCATCTGTCAGGCCATAACATACTTTTTCCAGCTTGAGTAGCTGGCCAGGATTCATGCCTGGGATGCCTTCTCTTGGTTGGGTGGCATACAGAAGTCGTTCAATTGGATCTCCAGAGTGGAATGCCTGAGTGAAGTCCAGGAAACCCAATTTCCACTGAAAGCTGGATACTAGCTGGGCCACGGTGAGGGTGCCTTCTCTAGTCACCTGTGGAGTGGTCGCCTCAATGTTCTCAGCCCCCTCTTCACTGAAGCCTTTCATGACGTGGCGAGCCTTGGCCTTGCAGGGTTCATCAGTGTCCCAATCCAGAAGTATTTCTTCTTCTTTGGCCTTTTCCACTTCGTGTGGTTCCAGTGGCTTGGGTGTGAGGACCAGTCGACTTTCCATGTTTTTGTTCGGCATGGTTTGTCTGACTCGAGCGGATTCTTCGGGGCTGACAATGGTGTAAGCACCAATGTTGATGTTATTCTGGATCTCCTTGCCAATGGCATTCTTGAAGCATTTCTGGTTGCGGTGGTTAAGTTCTTGTAGTCGAACTTCTTTTCTTTGTCTTCCCTTGATCAGGTTTTCCACCTTCAGAAGGTAGGCTTCTAAGAATTCCAATCTTGATCTTTTGCTGGGATGTTCATCCAGCTCTTCTTCTTCATGTGATCTCTTTTCTCGTTCCTGTTCTGGTTCGGGTGGTTGTAGGACCTCTTCATCTCGTTGAGGTTCTCCTGGTCGTTCGTCATCAGGTTCTGGTTGGGGAGATTGTCCATCATCATCAGCCAAATTATCTTGTGGCCCTTTTTCTCGATAGCGTTTCAATGGTCTTGGGTAGCCCATGGGTTCTTGTAGTCCTGGTGGTAGTGCTGGTTCCATTGGAATGTTCTGGTCTGGAGTTTCATCTGGTTCGGTCGGAGTGTACTCCTCATTGTTGGCTTCATCGTCTAAGATCTCGGGGAGCGGCTGGTCGGACAGGTCCAGGAATCCTCGAATCGGTTCCGTGACAATGTCCTTCTTCAGCTGCGCGAGATCTTCCAACCATCCAGATAGTGCCATGTTCTCTTCCAACGAGGCTCTTCGGATTCTCTCTGGGCTGGCTTTGACCAGTTGAGATTGGTATGATAACCAAATGGTGCTAGGTTGGTCGATCATGATGATTCTTGCCGGCCCGTGCCAGTAGCATGGTTTGAACTTCAGTTTCTTGTCAGCTCCCATTCGGAAGAAGTAGACAATCTCGCCGATGTCATACTCCAG